CTAATTTAATTTTCTTATATATCTTTCGAATATGACTACCATTACCATAGATTTTCCGTACACACTTCAACGCTTTGCTCTCATACTTTCTCGCGCGACTATCGAGAGCTATTACGCTTTTCATCCACAAAATCTCTCGCGGACATTGATTTCCAATCGCTCTCCGTAAATGATGTGTAGCTAAATTCCAATGACTATTCTCCTTCACACAGGATGCAAACGATATGGGACTCGGTAGCACACACTCGTGACAATACAGATCATCGTCTGTATCTGAAAAATCGTAATAATACAGATCACTGTCCATACTTTCGTTCAAACTGTTATCGCTTGACATATCCGCGCGTTCAGAAAAACAATGCGTGAAGAACCTTACCTCGTACGCATTTATATATCGTTCAAATCATCGGAAACGTGAACAAAACCGCAACTCCGTCTTATCATTTGTAAAAAAATAAAAGGTGTGCGCAAAAGGGAGATAGAAACGCATGACGCATCCTATCATATTCACAGGATGTGGTATCTCTACATACAAGATAACGGAAAGAAGTCAATATTGTGTATCTCTACACACATACACAGGTTAACGGAAAGAAACCACTATTTTTATTTATAAGTTTTTTTAATTGTTACTACGAAATACATCGATTATATATAAGTTCGACGTTTTTTAAAGCGTAAAATAGTGTATCTCAATAAAAAACTTACAACATATCGAGTAAAAGTAAATTGTCGATGTCGATTTATGACTGATGTTGCGTCGTGGGAGGCTTGACTCTTTTTTAAAAAAAAAGAAAAAGTATAGGGGGAAAGGAACAAGAGGAAAATCAAGGAAATTTAACATTTAGCGTATATTGTATGATTAATGATTAAGTCTAGGGGACTCACCACGACATGGTGGGGAATCTAGAGCGGTTTCGAGCGAATTTATTGTAATGTGCCCCCTTGTCTACAAACCTAGTCGGATTCCTCTTAAGCGTGTAACTTCTTTAGCGTGATCGAATTAAGATTAGGTTATATTGGCATTATCTGCGGGTGTCGCTCTTCACTGATCGCTATTATAGTAGGCTCGGTGGAGTCAAACGGCCTATCTCCCGAATGTATCAGGTACTGTTCGAAGGTTGAGACGGACGCAACGCAAATCGGACAGAGTTGCACGCGTTCCTCGGTGGGCAACGTGTTGTCGCAACCTTCGCAATCAACCGACGTGTGACTGAATCCTATTCGTACGTAGTGTCTAATGGTATAATTATACGAGCTACGGTCAAACGGGGATTTATCCACGTAGCACTCGCGGCAAATCTGCGTTTTATTAATGTGATGCTGATAGAAGGAGGTCATG